AGGGCCCCCCCCCCCCCCCCCCCTTTAAGAGGCCCCGGCCCGGGGCGCGGATTTTTCCCCCCCCTCTTCCCCTAAAAAAGCACATGGTTTAGGGCCCCTGGGGCTTGGCCCCCCCTTGGGCAAAAATTCCCGGGCCCGCGGGGCCGGGTCCCCCGGTGGGGCCAAACTTTTTTGACCCCGAGGGGCCCCGGATGGGTTTTTTAACCGGGGCCGGGGGGGCCGGGAACAAAAAGGCAGGGATGGAGGGGTTTGTGTGAACTTAAAATTAAATTCAAAATTAAACCATCCTTTACATAAAAGGGTTACGGTCTTTTTTTTTTTTTTTAGTTTTTATTCATTTTCAAACGGGGCCGGATTCCCGCCCCGCGGGCCGTAGTTTGCCCACGGCTGCGCTAGACCCTGTGCCAAGCTCTGAGAAGCTGATGCAGATTAGAAATCAGGCCCTCCTTGAGGGGCTCAGTTCAGCAGAGGGAGGGCAGCAGCAAGTCCATTAAGCAGGTGATTACAATGCCATGTCTTTCAGGCTGTAATGGAGTTAGGGAGAGAAATCACATGTTAGCACCTCAGCGTGAATTTCCTTATTTTCTGCAATCCCCAAAATGACAATATCCTAAAAAGGGAGAGGAATACCAAAGTATAGCTCTTTCCTGAGAGGCCAGAATCCTGACTATGTGTTCCTTGGCCACCAGCTTCCTCAAGACCTTCCATGGATTCCCCCCCTCTTAGAGAGAGAAACCGCTCTGACCCATCTTTTCCTCATGAGGAACCGGTGTAGGGATATGTTTGAGTGCTCTCAAACAGATATGGGTTGCACATGACCCTTCTCCAAAGTCTAATCCTTTGAGTGGTTCTAGCCTCTCACCTCTTTTCCTGGGCAGTTTGGCAGTTTGTGAAAAGTCTGCACTTGGATATCCTATCACTTCTTCCAAAGCGAAACCCTCTGCCAATTCCCTACCTCCAAACTGATAGAGGCAGCCCAGAGCAGGGGTGGAGGGTGGGAGCTGAGGCCCCG